AAATCAGGTAGTGACAACCAAAGATGACCACAATAGTAACACCCAGCATTGTCTGATCGCAGATAAACCTCTGTTATTTTAGGAAGTTGTGTCTTGATGGTCTGTAGAAGGTGTTCAAGCACCGATAATACAGCAAAAATATCTTGCTTAACAACATCCATCGTATGGGTAAATGTTTTGTGCTGAAAAAAGAAGGGTAAAAAGCTATGTAAGAACCTTTATTTGCTTTTAAAACAAACAAGAATATGTGTCCACAGCAAAACATGCCTTATGAAATTTCCCTTTTTAGAGAACAATGGATTAAAACACTACACTGAATTCAAATTTGTATGACTATAAAACATAAGAAACTAGACGGGTGCCATATATGGAGACGGATCTGCAATGCTGTCATTTATAAGGTAATACGTCATGTACATGGAGTTATCTTTGTTTATACATAACTGTACATGTACTGGAATCAATTACAATTACGGATATCTCGAATTCATACAAATTGTTATGTTTTTTTTATTTTTTTTCAGTTCAAACCGCAAAATGAATTCAATCTGTACTGTTCAATGCTCACGTCACTTTGATTTCACATGGCTTTGGTTGTCTCATCAATTCCTTATTTTTTTAGCTTTAATTTGGTGTCTGCTGCTATTTTTTAATGTGATTTCTGCAATATTGGTAATTGCTTAATAAGATAAGTAATTCATATAAACTTACAAATGACTAATGGTGATATATCATTTGTATATGTATAGTACTTGTATCTACATGTAGCTATATGTATAGTACTTGTATCTACATATAGCTATATGTATAGTACTTGTATCTACATGTAGCTGTATGTATAGTACTTGTATCTACATATAGCTATATACATAGTACTTGTATCTACATGTAGCTATATGTATAGTACTTGTATCTACATGTAGCTATATGTATAGTACTTGTATCTACATGTAGCTATATGTATAGTACTTGTATCTACATATAGCTATATGTATAGTACTTGTATCTACATGTAGCTATATGTATAGTACTTGTATCTACATATAGCTATATGTATAGTACTTGTATCTACATGTAGCTGTATGTAAGAACCCATTCTCTTATGCATGTTATGGTTGATGCCTGTTATCTGTTTCTCACAAGAAGAGATATTTATAGTATCAAACCTCACAGAGTGTGATCCGAAAAATGCTATTACTTGATTGGCTTAACCAGCATAATGAGACAGTATTGCAACATTACAATTGAATATCTCCTTATTTTCATAATGAATGTATAGGTCATTGAAGACATTCAAAGGTTCAGAAAATGTGCATGTTGTCTATAGCATGCAGGATATATGATTTCTTCAAAAACATACAAGACTTTTTTTATTTTTGTCGTTTTTACATTTACATGATTTAGAAGTGTACGAAGAATATAAAAATGTACGATGTGAAAGATGAGGCCATAACAGGACATACATGTATGAAGTCATATTTTTCGAAGAATTTTTATTTAATAACACAATGAAAATGTTTACCATGAGAGAAATAGGTAATCAATTATGTTAGAATTGGATATTTATCAATCATTGACCTTTGACGATGTCAATACATGATGGATGGACCTTTTCAGATTATATTGATCTCGGACTTTGTACTCGGTCAATTAATCCAACAGGTCCATATATAACGTATTGAATGAGTGAAAGACCTTAATTTATATATAACATATATGTAAATAGTATAAGTTTTAAAATGATATTGACTCATTGTTACTATTTTTTGGAAATGATATTGACATTGAGTCAATATCATTTTTAAAAATAGTATCGTCGAGTGTGTGAAAATACAAAATATATACATGATATATTTGGAAACACATGACCAAATAAACTAATGATAAACAAGAAACATCAAACCATATGTTATATTGCTTGATATCCAATTCTCACTTGTTATCAAAACTATAAATAACTTGGATTTTTCTTATCTTATATATATATTCATACCTTTAAGCTTCAATCTTCATCTCTAAAAATGGAAACTGCACAATGCCTTTCTGCCCAAACCAATCAGACATTTTTTCATTGATAGAATATTATTAATAATTTTAATAATGAATACATTTATGAAAATTATATGCAACATATGAGCACAAGTTATCAAGGATGCAAACAAACTAAAATTTAAACTGTAGTGAATGAAAAAAAAATAGTTGCATGGTTTCAATTCACAAGGATTTTAAATCATTGCAGCTCCCAAAAAACATAATCAATATTTACAATATTTATTTAAAAATTACTATGTTAATTATTTTTACCGTTTTAGTATGGTTTTATAAGTCTCTGTTTATATTTTTTAGAGCAATATATTCATAATTGCAAATGGCTGATATTTTTGTTCAAGCATATTGTTTTTCTTAAATTGTTTAACATTTCACAGCGGTATAACATGTTACTTTAATAATTCTTCTCTTAGTTTATTTATTTTGTATTTACATTGTATCATAGATCAAATTTATTTGTTCAGTGTATGTTCACTGGTGTTAATATGTCTTTTGATTGAGTTAAGCCATTTCAATTGATATTTTATAGTGTGTCTTTCTATGTTGTGATGTTACACTATTGTTTCAGATAAGGGTGAAGGTTTGGTACCATTAAAACGTTTAAACCAGCTGCAATTGTTTGCACCTGTCCTAAGTCAGGAATCTGATGTTCAGTAGTTGTCGTTTGTTGATATGGTACATAAGTGTTTCTCATTTCTCGTTTTTCATATAGATTAGACCGTTGGTTTTCCCGTTTGAATGGTTTTACACTAGTAATTTTTGGGGCCCTTTATAGCTTGCTGTCGAGTCGGTGTGAGCCAAGGCTCCGTGTTGAAGACCGTTCTTTGACCTATAATGGTTTACTTTTATAAATTTTGACTTGGATGGAGAGTTGTCTCATTTGCACTCATACCACATCTTCTTATTTAAACCATTGTGGTGACGTCAGCCTATTCATTTACCGTGGATTCTTTTTCTAGAATCAACGCTTCCTAAATCTGCCGCTGAAATTGACTCACCAAATTATATTCAATTGTTTCCTTTGCGTGCCTGATTTCATTAAGTTTGAATTGGCTAATTTACTGATTTCTGTTCACTAATGGAATTAATTTAAAAACTTACCTTTAATTTTTGTAATTTTTATATGCCTTCACTGGGAATCGAACCCTTCCTTGAAATCTGTTCTGTGTGACTGACATCAACAAATCGACGAAACCTCTCGGCTACCAATGGGTTACACTATAGATGTCTATTTTATATATTTAAATGAACATCTGATATACATCGGTTCATCGGACACACAGGGCTTGTACCTTTATATAGACACAATAGGCAGTTGTATAGTATGAGTTGGTAGCCGCGAGGTTAGCATGGTTAAAATCAATGAGTTAAAGATAGGGATTTGTCGCTTTAGGTTCGAATCCCTGTATTCTCTCTGTTGTTCCAATTCTTAAGTTATCCTGTTTGTTATAGTGGATATTTTTGTAATAATAGTGAGTTTTACCGGGTTTTGTTATTATTATTGGCTATTTCACATGTTTGAAACAAAAATGATTACATTCTATTTCACAATTTTTGTTTTATAAATATAGTATGATTTCATCTGTTTTACTACATAATTTTCCAAAGGTTTGTTCGCAAATTCCTATGCGAGAAAATCGTGATGTGCCTAAAGTGCTAGAAAATTTCGATAACATACTTATTATATATACTTTATATATGCATTTTGGTCGGGTTGTTGTCTCTTTGACACGTTCCCCATTTCCATTTTCAATTTTATTAGAAATAATTTCGAATATGTCTTATTTTGTATAACAGATAATATTCATATGCCTGGTAATATAAAGATCTTTAAAGAAGAGGTGTTATAATTGTATTTTGTTAACCAATTAATTGTGATCTGAGATTTATCAATGCATCGTTGGACTCGATAACATGGTTATTTAAACTCACTTACAATACCTTATGATTAAGAAAAGACTTTAATTTTGAAAAGAAATTAACACAATAGTTTAAGTTATAGATACAATGGATAAGCGTAGATTCCTGAAAAACAAACCATTCGCCCTCCGGGCTCATGGTTTCTTTTTCAAGAATCCACGCTTATCCATTGTATCTATATAACATCTATTATCTGTATTTTATAACTTCTGCCAATCTAGGCACACCTTCAGAGAGGCACACCTCCAGAGTCGTGTCTATTTGTAAATGTTTTAATTTTCAACAAGTGAAGTGAACACATATTACCTTAAATTAGGAAAGAGCGAAGCAGTCCACAGCTTTTTACAAAGCTCAAACTTGTGTACCACTTAAGTTCACCAAGTCCAAGGACCATATAACTCTGGAAAAATCATTGGATCGAAACAAAATTCTAACTCGAGTTGATCTGTTGAGCGGGGACATTTAAGTTGAAATTGTAAAATAAAAATATTTATTTCGTTTTCATTTCGTTTCGTTTTGCTGTATTTCGTTTCGTTTCGGTTTTTTTTCTGTTCCGTTTCTATTTCGTTTCGCACCTTACAGGTACCCCTTGCCACTCTACCGGCTTGCCGGTGGATTTTGCACATATATACCCCACTGAATTACCAATTACTAAAAGCATTTATTTATGGTGGTGTGTACCTAAGAATGATGTTTTATATTTAGTTATACTAAGACATTTATAAATATGTACTTGATTATTGTTTTTTTTTCCTTTGTTGTCTAAAAAAATACCTGTAATATACTCTTTGTGAGCCCATTTAATGGAAATAAAACATCTTCTTCTTCTTCTGTTTACAAAACAACTAATCTTTATTGAAGCCGTTTGTGACAAGATATGTTCGCCTTCAGTGTTTTGTTTACAAACAAAAACATGTGCTTTCAAAAAGAAAATAGGGATACGCATGCGTGTACGCATGTTATTCATCATGTAGATACTACCAGTTCTTACTGCTTTCTGAGTAGTAATCTGTGTGAAAATAGGTCACTGTTAGAAACAATAAGAACTTGCCATATTTATGCCATATCTTATTTTACAACAGTCGGATTATTTAAAGAAGTGAATACTACAGTATTTTGACTTTGGAAATTTAAGCGTGAGATTTTCATTCATAATTCGGCCACGTGGTATCTTCGTAGTGTGTGTTTTTCCCTGTTTCCATATAAAGAGGATTTGGTCTTGCGTCATATTAAAAAGTAAAGCGGGGAATGTCTTCTTGAACACTGGACATATTTTCAATTATACACGTGTTATAGAACCTCCAGTCATGCCCTCTAAGGATAAATACGATGTTGTCGGACAGAATGAGAAAACTGTGAAAGATCTACCAGCATCAAATAGTTCAAATTCAAGTGGACCAGAGGATGAAGTCAAGTTACAACAGAAAATCAGTTTGTTAAATGGTGTAACTGTAATCGTTGGAAGTATCATAGGATCTGGTATATTTGTCAGTCCTAAAGGAGTTCTCGAAGGGGCTGGCAGTGTAGGCTTGTCTATAATAGTATGGGTTGGCTGTGGTTTATTTTCCATGGTTGGAGCCTACTGTTATGCCGAACTTGGAACCTCTATAACAAGATCTGGAGCAGATTATGCCTATATTTTTGAAGCATTTGGACCATTTCTAGCATTTCTAAGATTATGGGTTGAATGTATGATTGTGAGACCATGTTCACAAGCCATTGTAGCTATGACTTTTTCCTACTACATTATTGAACCATTGTTTCCAGATTGTGAGCAGCCAGACAATGCCATTAGACTTCTTGCAGCAATATGTATATGTAAGTTATGTAAATGTTGTAAAAGCTTAACTAGAATGGTAAGTAGGGATGGTTGAATAGACTGCTTGCAATGTATTACACTGACCAAGCTGCAAGGAATATTATGAGTATTTATCGCACTTCGGGGTAAATTAATGACATTATGATTGGTTGAAGGTTGTCACTTGGTGACCCCTATTATAAGTTATATGGTTTGCTACTGACCCTCTATGGATCCGTAGGGGTCAGTGGTGAACCCTATAACAAATTTATCGCACACCAAACTTTTTCCTTTTTTTTTTTTAGAAATAAAAACAATGAAACACAACAACATTAATAGATAACGTCACCATTAATAGTAAACGTGACATCACGAACCCCATATGAAACTTACTGACACCATATAGATCCATAGGGGGTCAACACATGGCGGAGTTAAACCAATCACAACACCACTATTTATCCGAGGTGTGATAAGTATCCATATGGAGTCAGTAGATTTCATATGGGGTTCATGACATCACATCTACTGATGGTGACGTCATCTATTAATGTTATTGTATTTCATTGTTTATTATTATACATAAATTGACAGGAAAAGTCCTGTGTACTATAAAATTGTTATAGAGTTCACCACTGACTCCCTACCGATCCAAAGAAGGTTAGTAAAATCGGTATCAGGTCGTTGCGGCCCCAAACCAATCCGGCCCAAAGTCGATCCGGCCCCATAATAAAATAATGAATAATTTATATTAACTTCGGAGGATTATGTTACATATTTGAATCAGGATAAATGGTTCTTTTCCTTCTAACTTCATGGTGGCTTACCCGCTAAACGCGCTTTCAAATCATTTGGTAATTCCATAATGAGTGTTCACGAGGTTGACTGTTCAAAATACAGCTCACACTAATATGAATAAAAAATAAAAAGAAAAACCCATCCTGTCTCCTATTTTATAGGAATGATTAGGCAAATCAAACAACATTTCTCAATTTGAGAAGTTTTTATAACTTTAAACATGTTAAACAAAAACTAAGTTTGCATACATCAGCTTTGGGATCGGCTTGTACAGTTTTGTATGTAACGATTTGTTATTTTATTACATCAGTTGAAAGACTTGTTAAAATCACAGTCAATTGAAAAAATGTGAATTACTGCTGATTGATGTTGATGGTACTAAATTCTGTTATATATGTTTTATTATAATTATGCTGCTTTTTAGCTTACCTGACCAGAAGGGCCAAGTGAGCTTTTCTCATCACTTGGCGTCCGTCGTCCGTCGTCGTTAGCTTTTTACAAAAATCTTCTCCTCTAAAACCACTGGGCCAAATTTAACCAAACTTGGCCACAATCATCATTAGGGTATCTAGTTTTAAAAATGTGTCCGATGACCCCGCCAACCAACCAAGATGGCCGCCATGGCTAAAAATAGAACATAGGGGTAAAATGTAGATTTTGGCTTATATCTCTGAAACCAAAGTATTTAGAGTAAATCTGACATAGGATAAAACTGATTATCAGGTCAAGATCTATCTGCCCTTCAATTTTCGGACAAATCTGACAACCTGTTGTTGGGTTGCTGCCCCTGCATTGGTAAATTTAAAGAAATTTTGCAGTTTTTATATTGCGGTCATATATTGGTATGACGTTGACGTCGTCTTCGTCCGGTGTCGTCCGAAGACACATTGGTTTTCGCACTCTAACTTGTGTGTTAGTGTATGGATCTCTCTGAAATTGTACCACAAGTTTCCATATCACACAGGGAATGCTGGGATTGATTTTGGGGGTAATTGCCTCAAAATATTAGGAATTAGGGGCAAAAAACAAGCATTTTTCTAGTTTCATGACAATAACTTGTGTGTAAGTGTATGGATCTTTCTGAAATTGTACTACAAGGTTCCATATCACAAAGGGAAAGCTGGAATTGAGTTTGGGGGTAATTGCTCAAAACGTTTAGGAATAAGGGGCCAAAAATAAGCATTTTTCTAGTTTCCAGACAATAACTTGTGTTCAAGTGTATGGATCTCTCTGAAATTGTACCACAAGGTTCCATATCACACAGGGAATGCTGGGATTGATTTTGGGGGTAATTGCCTCAAAATATTAGGAATTAGGGGCCAAAAAAGGGGCAAAAAACAAGCATTTTTCTAGTTTCATGATAATAACTTGTGTGTAAGTGTATGGATCTTTCTGAAATTGTACTACAAGGTTCCATATCACAAAGGGAAAGCTGGAATTGAGTTTGGGGGTAATTGCCCAAAACGTTTAGGAATAAGGGGCCAAAAATAAGCATTTTTCTAGTTTCCAGACAATAACTTGTGTTCAAGTGTACAGTCAGAGATATAACTCTATAGGGTTATTACAGAAAATAACTTGCATGTGTTATTACAAATACTTTCATGAGTTGTCTACTCTTTATTCCTTAAATTTTCTAAATCTGTAATAACATATGTTTGTTATTTGTAAAATAAATCAAAAATATTTTAATTTATAATGGGCTCTAGGGAACTCTTGAGACTTTGCGCAGAAACTAAATGCATAGCCTTGATAATTAATTTTTTAATTAAATTAATACATTTTTGATTAACCATGGTAAATCAATGAGATGAGGCTTTTAAGGGATAAAATTAGCTGTAATAACATATCTTAGTTATTAAATGGAATGTAACCTATTATATGAGACACTTGGGAATTACTGGGAAGCTTGCGCAGAACCTCATTACATGCTCTGGTCATTATTTCTTACAATAAATTAAAATACATTGTAATAAAGCATGATTTACATCTGAGAAAATGCTTTGGAGTGATATAGAGAAGCTGTGATAACACCCTTTAGTTATTACAAATGTACAGGCATATTTTTTCTGTAATAACAAATAGGTGTACTTTGCAAAATTGGCAAACTATGAACTGTTATATCTTTCTATAGTTAAGTATACATAAAGACAATAGTAATATCAATAGAACTTGTATGCATTTTAACTAAACTAGTGATAAAATTGAGAATGGAAATGGGGAATGTATATTGTTCCTTTGAAACATGTAACATGCATATGTTATCACAGTTCTTTGATTTTTTAGTCCACAATAACAAATGTATGTTATTTTTCTGTAATAACCCTATAGAGTTATATCCCTGACTGGTGTATGGATCTCTCTGAAATTGTACTGCAAGGTACCATACCACAAAGGGAAGGCAAAAGTTCATCAGATTTAGATTTATCTGCCCTGAAATTTTCAGACGAATCGGAAAACCCGCTGTTGGGTTGCTGCCCCTGAGTTAGTAATTTTACAAAAATTTTGCAGTTTTTTGTTATTATCTTAGATATCATTATAATATCTAATATCTAATACTATTAATTATGATTTTAACCTTATTTTACATGATTTCCAAAGCATCAGTAAATACAGGTGAGCGACACAGGCTCTTGAGAGCCTCTAGTTATGCATACTCATGATCAATAGTCTTGAAAACTTGTAACAAAAACATAATCAACAGAATTGTTTTATACTGCAATAATCATCCGTATTCATTTAAGGTGATAAATTGATTTGAATTCAAATATTTTATATAAAAAAAATACTATATTTCTATATGAAATCTTAATATAAATTAAAAAAAATATTCAAATAAATGTCTCATCTTATGAGAATTTAATATTCAAATATTCGTCAAAGGCCAACTTTTTTAACGTCGACCTTTTATATTAATATAAAATTAATAAACATCAAACAGAATGACACTGAACTCATATATATCTTTATTTTTATTCCTTATAAATATTTTTATATTGGGGACGGATCAACTTTAAATATGGGGCTGGATCGACTTAGGGTCGGATAGACATGAGGGGGCAGTAAAATCCATAAGGGATTTGGCCTTATAAGCCCTATGGATTTTACTAACCCCCTTATGGATCCATAAGGGGGGTCAGTAGCAAACCTTATAACAAACCCCATGTTTACTTTTTGTAAAAATTTGTATACATGTAGATTCTATTAAACATATGTACAATGAACATGTTGTACAAATTTTTACACGTCTTATAGTAAATTAACTAATCTGGGTCGATAGGCTGTGGCTTAGCATGAAGAGTGTTATTCATGTATATATTTTCTAATTTTTAGATTTAGACATTGTTAGACCATGTCATATGACACAATGGCAGCCTTGGCAGGTCAACCTATTTATACTATATATATAATAAGAAACAACCGTACAAGGTGATTTTTTTTTTAAATAGTTTATGTGGTAATCTGCTTACATGTACGTATACATGTACAGTTTAATACAAGTATGTTTAAGGTGTAATACCACCATTCATGCCATTGTTTTCCCCTATTAGTCTTTGTTAGATTTGCACTTTTCAAAAAATTGTGCAGAATTTACATTTGGATACACGTAGATCTTTGTTTCAAATAAAGAAATACTTGGCATGAGTAAAGTTTTATCCTATCCAGTACTACAGACAAAATTTCACATAACATTTCATTGCATACAAGATAATAACCATCACTGGAAGTTAACCAATCAAATTTCCACCCTTTCTTTCCTGTTTACAAGCTTGAGTAACCATGTAACCTCAAGTTTCCAAAATATTCTATAGAAACACCAAATAAAAAAAGAATGGTGTTTTGAAACACCCAAGATATATGTTTATGACTCAGAAATCTTTTACTGCAATGAAATGTAGGATTAATTTCCTACAACTATCAAATTCAAGGGAATATTTTTTTCAACCCTTTTTCCTATGCAATCGGATGTGAGGTACTATGATTTGGTGGTATTACACCTTAAGAGACTGGATTTCAATTCCCAAAACATAGAGTATATTTAAATCATACATGCTGGTGTCAAACCAGGACTGTAAATTTAAATCAAACATGCGGGTGTCAAACCAGGACTGTAAATTTGAATCATACATGCGGGTGTCAAACCAGGACTGTAAGTTTGAATCATACATGCAGGTGTCAAACCAGGACTGTAAATTTGAATCATACATGCGGGTGTCAAACCAGGACTGTAAATTTAAATTTTCAGAGAATTTGGATTTTCTTGACAACAGTACTAGTGTTAATTTGTTAATTGTGATGGCAGCAGATCTCCTAAATTTTACAACATGTACATGTACATGTATATTTGTTTTACGAAGTTGTTACATGTACAATCTACACATACAAAAATCTTTGTGCCAAAAACAAAGTGTCTGTACTAAATGTACTAAAAATGTACATTTTTTTGTAAATTATGTGTCAGAATAAATTTTCAGTTGTCTGAAATCTACTTTGGTATTGCATTATAGCTATTAAGACACAGTCATTGGACTGATTTCTGATACAAAACATGCAACATTTTCCATACTGGATGAAAAGAATAAGGGTTTACAAATGTATAGGACTTTATTTTTATGTTATTGGCTTTATATACATGTACATATACTCATACATTGTAGCTATTGTTAGACATTGTTGGATGTCCAATTCAATCAAAAATTGATTTAGCATTGATTTAGTTGTTTAACTTGATGATCATCACATTGAAAGGACGTCTGAAGGTGACCTACGTTTTACGGAAGGAGTCTGACGATGCACATGATCAACCTTTAAAATCAATATTTTATTAATTAACACTTTTTAATGTTTTCCTGATTACAAAATTATAATATGAAAAATTTCATTTATTTGATCATGGTTCTTTTGATTTAATTTCCTCAATGGATTGTAAAATTTACTTAATATTAAATCAATTCTCTTGTAAAAGATTTTATTACAACGTGGGTTAGGATCAATAAAGGGAACTAACATAATGCAGGATTAATTTATATAAATGTAATGTGATGTAAACAACTTCAGTATATATGCATGACGTAGAGAAGGGTTTGGCATTCTGATGTAACATTTTTTGTTGATCTTTAAAGCATGAGCTACTTGTTACCAGTTCTATGCAGTTTTGTGTCTAATTAAAAAAATGAATTTGGTAGATCTTTGCCTTTGATATTTATTTATTACATGATAAACTAGTACATGTAGTAGGGGTCAAGCAACAGAGTAAATCAATACAATTATTATAATAACAAACAATTCTAAACAGGAACAAAATTAAATTTCAAATTGAAAGGCTGACAATGACCTCCTTGCCATTTTAAATAAATTCTAAAGATTGTTTTATGAAAGAATTTAAACAATGTTACATAATCCATTGTAAATAGGAACAAGTACATCTACATGTACAATGTACATGTATAGTGTATACATGTAGCTTTGTTTTCTTGCATACATACATTTATACATTTTTAAATTAATACATGTATGTGCAGTGTACAACAAATTGATAGTACATACATGTACATGATCAATTATTATGATTATTTTATATATGATAATCACAGATACATGTATGGGTGAAAATTTCACAAAACTTTGGCTTAAGCTCACCATTCTTGCATTAACATATTTGCTAACTGTTTCATCCATATGTAACATATATACAAGTATGCAATTAAAAGTTTTGTACAATTGTATACTGGGTACTTATATAGTTTCATTCTTTTTTATAGTGTTACTCACATTTATAAACTGTGCAGATGTGAAGTGGGCGACTCGAGTCCAGGATATTTTTACATATGCTAAAGTTGGAGCATTGATACTGATTATAATAACAGGATTTGTACAGCTAGGAAGAGGTAAGAATTTATACAGCTTGAAAGTGAAGCAGTTAAGTCTTTTAGCCGTAGAATGTGTAATAGCATTGAACAGGAATACAACACATTAAAAAGTACCATTCCAAATGTATTATCTAATTGAGGAATAAGTTAATAACTTTGAACTCTGGCTTGATGTTCTCAAGGTTAGGTCATTGGCTTTCCAAAGTTAATTGACAGGTGTTCTAAGAAGCCATGGGATAGTGAGCTTGACCTAACATCTGGGATTCAATTAGAAACATTTAGAAACTACATCAATCATAGCATGGGAAGAGAGGCAAACTTAGTTACTATTTAACTGTACTAGAAGGTTCCTATATCAGAAGGACCTTTCAATGGAACTTTTAAATATGTTTTATGTATTTAAAAATTTCAGAATTCATTCCAATCATATTCAAATGTACTTTCCTATTTTCAGGTATGTGGAACATGAATAAAAGGTACATGTTTAATGTGGGGCATAAGTCTGAGACAGCAACCCAATGCCAAAAATAAGAAAAAACATGTAGACAGATGTCTATACAATAATATATTAGAATATATCAAGCTCCAAGTCTAAAATATGAATTCCTTCTAATCATTTTGTATAACAAATGTATATATATACATATAGATAATAGGAAATATGCAGTTAACTTTAATAGGACAGCAACTTAACAAAACAAGTAAACATCTAGAGGTCATTATACATAATCTTTTTCATGGTTTTACATTGAGGTTGTACATACATTGTTCGTTAGATGAAGGAGAATGTCAGATATTATAGCAAACAAATAGAGTAAAGTGGAATTTAGATGACCTTCAGGCACCAGTTTATTTATTATATACCAGTATATATATATATACAATATTAGGTCAGTGTCAGAAAATATCAACTTTTTGTATAAGGCTTAGAAACTTGGGAAGGGTGAGGTTTACTGAGCTCTTCAACAGTTTTTAGTTGAATACAAAAAAAGATATTTTTATGACATTGACCTTGTATTGTTTTAAGCTGCAGCTCCAATTAATGTTTATGAATATAACAAAAATAAAACCAACTTAAACGAAGCCCACATTGTGAAAAAAATTGAGGTGACATGAAATTAACATTACACAAAATATCTCTTTGTTATTGTATTGGGTAGATAAAGACAACAGGAAGTTTATTAGTTGCATTATAGATACTGTTAGGCCAAACAAAAAAGTATGTGTGTTTACTGTTACATGCTGAAAAAAAAATAGGGTAGCTATGTAGGGATTTTTTTTTATTTTAAATTTTAATATTTTTTTACATTGAGTCTATGGGAGCAACATTCATGACATTGTGACTTTAACAGTGCTTATTCAAAAATGGTCAAAAAAACTTTGGGGTAGAGGATAAAAATTAGGGTAGGTAGGGGTACAGTAAACACACATACTTTTTTGTTTGGTCTTAGTTCAATGCAAATATTTTCTTCTCCCTTTTTCCACAGTCATATTAACTTAAAGGTCTTGTTATTTTGATTAAGATACATGTATAAAAGTCATAACCATAAATTTATATTCATACCATCATTTTAGACTGAATATTAAAACTACTACATTTACAGGTATTTAAAAAGTAAAAGCTTGCAATAACAACTATTTTACAAGAACACAAATGTACAAAAATACTGCAGTATAACACAAATTCAGGCAGGCTACTGTATACCGGTACATGCAAATATAATTACAATAGCTTGCGATGCTTCACCTAATTTTGGGATATTGGACTGGTGTTTGGCGTACAAAGTCCTGTTAGAAGTGCTCTTTATTAATTTGATATATCTTCAGTACATGCAATACAAGGTCATTTGATCAAAACAAAGCTTATCAGTGGTACAGTTTCTACAAATAGTTTCTATTAGAAGAGGACCGATCGGTCATGGTCAAATTTGCCTATTATCCATTCTTAACAGAAAGTGCTTACTGTAGTTCAGGTCAGTCACCTTACATTTGTCAATGATCTACATGTATATGAACATTTGCATGTATTATATGTAACCTTTGACATTCAACAATTTGATAAGGCTCTATCCTGTGACCAGTGAGTAATCTCAGACACACACAAACTCACTTTTTATAGATTTTTTATACAAATTAAAGGATCATCAGTAAACAGTAATTGAAATTATCACCAGGACATTTCAAAGATGGCCCAAATTTTGGCTTTGTCTGTTTTAGAATTATTAGGAGTTTGGTCTTAGATTTAATGTCTGTGATGTACATGTCTGAAGCCCGCCTCCAGGTGCGGGATTTTCTCGCTGTGTTGAAGACCCATTGGTGGCCTTTGGCTATTTTTCTGCTCTTTGGTCTGGCTGTTGTCTCTTTGACGCATTCCCCATTTCCATTCTCAATTTTATGTATTTGATTGCATTATATACATGCATATAAAACTATGTTCATGGTCCAAGTTTTCTGTTTAAACTTGAAACAAAGTAGTAGCTCACAAACAGTCAAAATTGACCCTAAGTTTTTGATTTTTTTTTCTATCTGGCCAAAATTCTACAAATTTTACAAAAAACATAGTTGTGATAAATGACTTCTTTATTGGCATAACACATGATTATCAACTATGAAATAATGACTACTAATGTATGCATTATTTATTTTGTAATGCCAATTTTTCTAAAATTTGTAACATTTTTAGTATAAATAACCTTGACCACTACCCCTGGTCCAGAAAATAATTGTGCCTATAGATTCATTATAAAAGTTGGCACATTTTGGTTACATTACATTTTGGATCATAGGGGCCAAGGTTTTCCTGAAGTTTTGACAATATCTCCTAAAAATGGTGACTTTGGAGCCTATAGTGTAATATTATGAAGAATTTTGTTTTACTTAGCACTAATATGATTAAGGCTTTTGAAGTACATCTATATAAGAAAGTGTGCCCTTTTTGATATTTTATGATAAAGTTGAAATTCAAAGCCATATTTTGGCAAAAGTGAACCTTGTCCTTTGTCAGCTGTACTATCCTTTAGATAAGTCAAAAATATGTTTACCACACCTAGCAATTATTTTAATCTGTATGTATTTATAAAAATGCACAGGTAATATAAACTGCTGAAGTTGAATCGTATATATATACATGTATATGCTGTCAGATATAAGAGACAACACAATTTTCCAGAGAAGCAATTTTGCATAATTATAGATAAGAAGATGTGGTATGAGTGCCAATGAGACAACTTTCCATCCAAGTCACAATGTGTAAAAAGTAAACAATTATAGGTCATTATAAACCTATTTAGAGGATTATACATGAATTACATTGTGTGGATTATAAAATATTTGAAAAAGTAACATTTATTTTTTAGGTGAACATGAAAACTTCCACAATCCTTTTGAGCACACAGAAACTAATATTGGTAAAATTGCCATGGCATTCTATTCTGGGTTATTTGCCTATAATGGATGGTAAGTTTAAATATAAAATATTATTGGAAATTATTTGAGGTCAGTGAATCAGGTCACTATATTTTTAGAGTGGAATGTGCAATCTTTATTATGTGCATCCTCAATGAATATTTATACAGACAGAAAGAAATACATCTGTTGTTCTAGCTGGAGGCAAATTGTTTAAAAAAAAGTTATTTAAACATGTTAAATTGGTTATACAGTAGGAATGTGATGAACATTGTAAATGATGAAATATATTTTTTGTTAATTGACCAGGTGGTTAATTACTGCTGTTTCATTCCTATATCATATACCTGTATGTCTGACACCTGAACAGGTGCCAAATAAGGTATTGTTTGTAAACATCAACTAATAAAAGAACTGTTAGATGTGATTTTTAAATGCTTTGTTTTATATATGATGTCCATCATAAAGTATTTTTAAACTTGGCATTGATTGTATATAGCAGTTGTAAATCTAATGAAACAAATTTTGGTAGTAAATGAATGATGCAATAATAAAAATGACAAAGAATGTATAAATGATAACAAGGCTATTTTGGCAGGCCTAGTTGATTTGGAATTATTTCTAATGTCTGAATGTAATAGTGATGTTTATTACATCATCATAAAAATAAGGAAATCATGTGTTATGATTGCCAATGAGACGTTAACTTGGTGGAAGTAAGCAACTATGCTTATTACGTCACGTACATCATGTACTGTAACACCATTGTATACTTGTATAACCACAATAAAAGTCAATGATGGTTTTGATAAAATTGCTTTTATTCCTAATTTAATGTTTTTTTTCTGTCACACGTTTTGACCAATGTCACAGAATCAAAGGAATAGTTTATTGATCTCCAGAAGATTATTTGATAACTAGACTACTGATGACTTATTGGACTTTTTTTATGATTATTGCCCATATTTCGTTTATAGAGCACTTTTTCTGTGCACAATGACAGATCTCTTTACCAAATTCAAATTACAGAGATAATTCATATACAATACATTGTATATCATTTACAAAAAATGTATTATACTAGGAATAACTTACTTGCTTTACTTTATTATGTCATTGCATTTAACCAAGTACATGTATAATAGAGTAATTCATAAAGTCAGGGCCAAACAAATCTCTGGTAATTACAGGTAGTTTTGTTGTGTCAGGGCTGATCGGTACACATTGCATAAGTTTGTGTTTTTTTTGTTTTGGTTAGAAACCACAAGCTGTTCACTTGCATTTCTGGGCTATTTGTTGATTACAAAGTATAAATTAGTTTGTTCTTTTGATTTATGGCTTATGATTGTTTTATTTTTTATTCTCCTCTATGTATCTTTTCTCTCCTTTTGTCATGTAACTGTTCCTGTTACAAACCGGTTCATAGGTCAGGGCTTTTGGTAATGACATTGTCATGATTGTCATGAGAAAAACAAGACACCCCTTTCTGGTACTTGAACAGGATTACAAGTCAGGGCTTTTGGTAATTGCATTGTCTTGAGAGAAACAACAAACCCTTCATTGTATTTAAGATTACATGTCTTGGTTCTAGTATATTTCATATGATTGTACTCCTTTATGAAAGGTCTAAACATTCTAAAAAAGTAAAGCCAGACGGCTGCAAATTACCAAATGTTGACAAAACTTTATTAAAACAAATGTTGTAACTCCAGTCAGAAGAGTATTGTTAGACCTTTTTTCCTTCGATCCTCCTGTCATACTGATATAAGATAGATTTCTCAGATACTATGCTTAACAATTCAATGAATTACAAGTATTTCAAAATTTGTTATTCATTTTCACATCCTTTCTATATCTGGGTCATTTTCACCATAAAATATGCATATACATGTACATGTACTGGATTTCAGGACAATAGTATTGGGTCAGTGCGTACTGCACATTTATTGAGAAAGATTTCTTGTGAAGATGTATGATTTATATTTCCCAGAATTTTTAAACTGTTACATATTTATTTATATCAGGAAGTATTTAAACCTTCGAATTCTAAACAGAACAATACACCTAACAATTATATAATAGTATGAAACTTTTTAAACAGAAAGGTTATCGTGGGTATAGAGAAATGTAATTTGATTTATCTCATGATTGGTGGTGTAATTAACACAGAAAGTCACAGGACAAAAAGTCACAATTCAGTTTTGAAATGATTTTTCTTTGAATAAGGAAACAAATGATTAATGTTGTGAACAATTACTATTATTACTCTGCTATGTTTTATTGGTTTTGTCTGATATGGTTGAATTTATATACAAATCAAATAATAAAGTTTCGACTTTATTTCCATGTCTAGCTGTGTAACAGATATATATTGTTGAGTGGACCATGAGGTTTTTAGGCGAAAAGCATTTATCTTAAGACAGAGTTATTTAATGTGGTTCCTAGGGTTTTTAGGCTAAAAGCATTTATCTGAAGACAGGGTTATTGAATGTGGTCCCTAGGGTATTTAGACTTAAAACATATATCTGAAGACACAGTTATTGAATGTGGGTGGTAGGCATAGGGGTTTCAGTCTAAAATCATTTATCTTCAAACCAGGTTATTTAATGTGGTCCCTAGGGTTTTTAGACCAAGTATTTATCTGAAGACACAGTTATTAAATATACCAATTTATTTACCTTAATGTGGTCACCCTATTTCACTCATGTTAAACTTGATAAAAACATATGGAGAGCCAATAGTTATAACTCTCAGTTGTAGAACTCTGTTTGGTACATTTATTGCATGAATTGTGGATAAATCTGTTCAACAGTCAATATAGATTCTATTGTTTGGTATATGATTAGGTAATCAAGTATACAGGCTTAGAAGTTTAAGTACAGCAGTTAAAACTACATTTATAACTTGTAAATATGATGAAAAATCAAACTACTGTTTTGGACTAATAAAAATAATCTGTATTCATTGAGTTTGCATCTTTTTATTATTCCAAGTTTGATTACATTTGTTTTCTCCTTAAACCATGCTTAGAATTATTTATTATTAAAGTTGCCACATTATATAATCTTAAAATTTTATTATTTCTCTAAAATATTTTTGTAATTTTTTTACACCTTATATGACTATAATAGTACACTCATCTTTCATTACAGGAATTACCTGAACTTTGTAATTGAAGAATTGAAAGATCCATACAAGTAAGTTTTATGTTTGACAAGAGGTCACTTAGAATCTATTGAAATGGGAAATCACATCAATATAAGTTAATAAGTTAAATCATTTGTAATTCATCACGTTCATTGGATCAAGTTCTATGGGAGCTATGAACATGATGAAGTTAGTATAGAGAGCACACAAATGAGACCAGTTATACTGTTATCTCCTCTGATCACTATAAAGAATAGGGATCACACAAATGAGACCAGTTATACTGTTATCTCCTCTGATCACTATAAAGAATAGGGATCACACAAATGAGACCAGTTATACTGTTATCTCCTCTGATCACTATGAAGTAGAGGGATCACACAAATGAAACCACTTATACTGTTATCTCCTCTGATCACTATGAAGTAGAGGGATCACACAAATGGGACCTGTTATACTGTTATCTCCTCTGCTCACTATGAAGTAGAGGGATCACACAAATGGGACCTGTTATACTGTTATCTCTTCTGCTCACTATGAAGTAGGGGGATCACACAAATGGGACCTGTTATACTGTTATCTCCTCTGATCACTATGAAGTAGAGGGATCACACAAATGAGACCAGTTATACTGTTATCTCCTCTGATCACTATAAAGAATAGGGATCACACAAATGAGACCAGTTATACTGTTATCTCCTCTGATCACTATGAAGTAGAGGGATCACACAAATGGGACCTGTTATACTGTTATCTCCTCTGATCACTATGAAGTAGAGGGATCACACAAATGAGACCAGTTATACTGTTATCTCCTCTGATCACTATGAAGTAGAGGGAACACACAAACGAGACCAGTTATACTGTTATCTCCTTTGATCACTATGAAGTAGAGGGATCACACAAATGAGACCAGTTATACTGTTATCTCCTCTGATCACTATGAAGTAGAGGGATCACACAAATGAGACCAGTTATACTGTTATCTCCTCTGATCACTATGAAGTAGAGGGATCACACAAATGGGACCTGTTATACTGTTATCTCCTCTGATCACTATGAAGTAGAGGGATCACACAAATGAGACCAGTTATACTGTTATCTCCTCTGATCACTATGAAGTATAGGGAATACACAAACGAGACCAGTTATACTGTTATCTCCTCTGATCACTATGAAGTAGAGGGATCACACAAACGAGACCAGTTATACTGTTATCTCCTCTGATCACTATGAAGTATAGGGATCACACAAATGAGATCAGTTATACATTTAGCTCATCTGGGCATATATATGAATCTGACACAACACAGGAATAACCCCATTTCTTGTACATATGATTAGTCCCATGTGGTCATTGAATCTCAGAGTGAAAGATCATTTGAAGTTAAGGACAAGACTTTTTCTAGCTCATATGTTCAAAATCCTTGGGAATTTTTATTTTCATCACTTTGAGTCTGTCAAGGTGAGGGATTGATCCATTCAAAGTAGTAAAACAAACAATTTGACCAAAAAGACTATGGAAAGCTAAAGCATGAGGATTTTTTTTATATCTATATCAAAATGAAATGATGCAGGGGAGGTGTAAACAGTCATTCTAAAAGTCAACTGATATTTAATAGTTAAATCTTCTGAATACAGTAAACTCAGAATTTTTTGTGTACACATAATATTTGGATTTGTAGAATAATACACAAAAATGTTAGTTAAATTATTGCTATTTCAGATGTGCTGAATACGAGTAATGCTTTTTGTTTACTGAACCAAATGTCCACTAAAATTTCAATGACCTTCAGAATCAATTAGTATACCAGTAATGAGTATACATCTAAAAAAGACAACAATACACTAAAATAATACTCAGAAGACCTCTTGCTAAAATACAATACATTCTAGAGCAACAATATATAAAAACGGAAAGAATAAAGAAAGACAATAATGGCTATTAATGTAATTACAAATGGGTGGCTTCATAAAAATTAGAGTCATCAATTCAATATAGTATACAATAAAGAGATCTATAGAATATTAATCTTTTAACAACAAAAAAGACAACAATGTTAATGTCATGATTAGAGGTAACATCTGTTGTATTGTTTATGATACATGAATGAAAATGTCAAAGTTCTTCTCATTCGCGTAATGTTGTGACATATGTTCATTGATTATTATTGGTCTCGTACATGCATAGTCATACATTATACGTCAGTAAATAAATGGACTTTGGTTGAACCCTTAAAAGTTAATCTCTTCAAGGTCTCATCAAATCTATTGGACCCAACATGCTCAAAATCAATAATAAATCTAGCTCCTTTTTTATGCATAATTTCCCCTCACACATGTCACAATTAATTGTTTAGCTAGTTGACCCTATTAATAAGAGAGCTGACTCTTGCTGCAGATTAAGCTAGAATTTCAAACCTTATATCAATAGCTTGAGTATTGGAATGTATTATGATTTATTATGTTTAGTAGTAGGCTGATTAATTTTCATAAGTAAATTATATATGACATACATTATACATGGATTTAATTGTCAATATTAAATCTGTCTTTTTGGATCATAGCTTTCAAACTTTTTTGAAGCTCAGAAAGATCTGAGAAAAGAATAAAGGATCATCATGATATTTTGGATAAATATCAGACAGTAATCTTTAAATTTTACTGAAGTGATGAGGAAACTTAAAAAAGTGGCTTACTTGAATTCGGTCTTTATAGTGAAAAATATATCTTTTTTTCACCTATTGATATTATTTATAAGTTTAGTGCATGTAATTTTAAAACTTAAAAAAAAAGATAAATTCGAAAAGTGGTTGTGCTGTTACAATTCTACTTAAATTTGGGCTTTTTGGTGAAAAATTAAATCTCTTTTCACCCAGTGATAGTATTTATAAGTTTAGTAATCTTAAAACTTTGATATTGATAAATTAGACAAAGTGGCTGTCATGTTGCAATTCTACTTGAATTTGGACTGCATGGTGAAAAATAAATCTCTTTCACCTATTGATAGTATTTATAAGTTAAGTAATCTTAAAACTTAAATATTGATAAGATTAATCCAGACAGATCACCTTCTCCTTCAAATTGAATAAACCGGAAATCTACAGATATGATACAAGTACAATTCGATAACCATTTTGACTTGTTGACCTCTGTTGTTTACTTTGTGATAAGTGACCAGTAAGGTTTTTTTAAGAATTTAAAAAAAAGATCAGTTTGTTCTAATCTGTCCTGAATATATAACGTCATTGCCATGACTATTATGACCATGAAAATTTGAAAGGAATGTCCATCCCTGTCTTAAAATACTCCAAATGAAATTGTAATTTGAAATGTAGCAAAATCAGTATGAAAATGCTGTGCAATGTGAAGAAATTTCACTGGATAACATTTTCAATAAATTGGAATGAATTTGAATTATAACCATGATAACCAGTCCTACTAACTTTTTAGGGTTATCAAACCAAATGGAAATTTTGCACAAGACTTGCATATTATTACATAACATTTATTGATTTTGCAAATTTTGGTACCTAGCTTGGCTCTCAGTTAAGTTGTATGTATACGATACACCTTGAGAGCGTTAGCCCGAATGGGTTTATCTAATTTACACCAATATATTATTGTCAATGTAGAAGGATAGTTTTCAATAATTTAGGAGGGGGGTCTTTCAGCGATTTGACCTTATGTTATTAAAAAGCATGATAAATGTAGGGCATCCAATAACAATATCTTGGTGTAAATATGAATTAAAGGTGAAGTATATGTCAACGGGGCAACAGAACACAAAAAATAAATAAATAAGCCATCGAGAGGTCAACATCCGAGAGGTCAACATCCTTTCCGTACAATATGTCAAGCTTTAAATCACCCCTAGTTTATAAAAGTGATGAATTAATTTAAAAGAGATGAGCTGCTTACATCAAATTCCCCATGATTACAAAAACACATTAACATATGACAAAAAACACCCTGTCACGCATTAAAAGCGGTACATGTATGAACTGTAATAATGATGAGAATTTGTCTTGATATTACAATTTTAGGGTATGGTGTATACAAATAAATAAATTTAAGAATGTAGAATGAACTAATTAAAGACTTTAATATTTGTGTTTTTAAAACTGATTTTTAAGAGAACAAATTTGGGATCTAGTCAAACTTGTACACAGATGATACTCTAAATTACAGTCTGAGACCCATTTTATAACTTTTTTTCAGATAGATTATTTCTTTGTTCCCTTTATACAATGTTAAAGCCTTATAGGGAGTTATTTGCTTTAAAGAGGTGGTCACCCTTGATAGGTTTTACTGTAATATTTTTTTTTTTCAATCTGCCATAAAAAAATTTTTTTTTTTTTTAAGAATTTGAATATTTCATAATCACTGATTCAGATCAAACAAACATAATACTTCCTAGGTGAATTATTTTATATTGCTTTCAGTTGAAAACCTCTTAACTATGCTTAAAGACCTGTTTAAGTAGGTAAGAAGGAAATAAGGTCCAATGGGTTTTCTGTTGTTATGATTTAATCCTTTCCTGTTTATGTATAATTTTATTACGTTCTTTTTTATAAGTTTATTTACATAAAGTAACAATTAAGAACAGCTTAAAAACATGTAGTACAAATATCTATAGATAAACCGCATGCAATATATATCTCTACTTTGTCTGTTTACATTTATAATAATTATTCCAAGTCATTACCAGAGAATGGACAATACTACAAAGACATGAAATCCTAATAGTTCTATTTACAAGTTTCATTTTGAAAACCAAAAAATAAGCAAATAGCTGTTAAAAGGATAAAAGAGTTTCAGGTTTCATAATAAACTGAATTGATTCTTAGTTGTGCTTGGACAAAGTTATTTAAGGCAAAGAAAAGCAGGTAATAAATATTATTGCATGCTAGAAAATAGCATGGTGATGAGATGTTTACCATTTATCAACAAAATTTAAAAGAAAGTTAAAAAAAAAGAAGAGAATACCATCTTAGTAATTTCAGAGTTATTTCCCTTTTTGACATGTTTGTTGGCTCTGCTCAAACTTTTATACACCCTGCTCACAAACATGTTTAACCCTGCCACATTCTTTATGTGCCTGTGCCAAGTCAGGAGCCTGTAGTTCAGTGGTTGTCGTTGGTTCATGTTTGTCATATTTGTTTTTTCGTAAATTGTTTTGTTATAAATTAGAACGTTAGTTTTCCCATTGAATTGTTTCATATTTTTCTTGTAGGGGCCTTTCATAGCCAACAATACGGTATGGGTTTTTTTCATTGTTGAAGGCTGTACGGTTGCCTTTAATTGCTTACATCCACCTCATTTGAACTTTGGTTGATAGTTGAATTGTCTCATTGGCAATCATACCACAACTCCTTATTTTTATATTTTTTAAACATCATATTTAGTTGAAGTAAGTAAGCAATAATAATCCTTGAATATAAAAAATCCATGGTTGTCAGCAGGTAAACATTCATATGTGGTATTTAGTACGTGTATAAATGCCTTTGTGTTTTAAAAACAGCTCTCAAAAGAATATTTGTCTTTTACAGAAATTTACCAAAAGCAATCTGGATCTCTATTATCATGGTGATGACTGTGTACACTCTAGCTAATATTGCCTATTTCACCACTGTAACTAGAGTAGAGATCTTGAGTGGCAGTGCTGTGGCTGTGGTAAGTGTAAAATCTTGCTTACAATGACTTTTTCAGCTGTCATCAGAATAGAGTTTATGAGTGGCAGTGTTGTGGCTGTGATATTGTTATTTCTTATTTTACAATTAGATTATTGCACCTGGATGTATTGAAGTATTAAACAATTGATATACCTTTATAATGAAATGGCAGATTGAAAAAAAATACAGATAAACCAACATTAATAAGATTTATTTTTCTTTTCTCAGATGTTCTCCCAGAGATTGTATGGTGTTATGTGGTGGATTATGCCCATCTTTGTATCACTCTCTACTTTTGGAGGTGTAAATGGTATCCTGTTTACCACTTCAAGGTCAGTAAAATTCCCTACTCACAGCTCTTTATATATTTACAGTTGTTTGTTTTTATTATTATTTATATCATGAACTTCCTTGCATAGTTTAAGCATGAAATGGAGGCTTTGTATTTCTTTTACACTGATTTCTTAAGTTTGAAAATTAAACCAGACTAAAACTACATTAACTACATTCATGACATTTGGGCTGTATCAGGATGTTCCGGCCCCATAATAAAATAATGAACAATTATCATAAAAATCAGAGGGTTTTGTAACATATTTGATTCAGGTTAAGTGGAATTTTTGCATAGAAAATGTGTGTAAATTTGGCCACTGATTGGAGGAATATTTTAAGGAAACAGTACAGTTGTTTACATGTATGTAACTACATGTATTTGTTGTGAAATACCTTTAAAAAATTTCCAACAAATGTCTCCTCAAATGAACATTATATATTTGAATAGTGTCAAAGGCACAATTTATCTTATACCTTTTATGTTTTGATAAATGCTTGAAAGCATGTAATGAAAATTGATGATGAAATAATGTAACACAAGATATGTTATTTAATTTACAGATTATTTTACGTTGGCGGTAGAGAGGGCCACATGCCACAAGTGTTAAGTTACGTGTCTGTAAAGAGATTGACCCCAATGCCAGCCTGTATATTTATGGTAAGTGCAGATATATAATAATACAATAAATTGAAAGTACAAAATATGACAGATTAAAGGCAATGAATCATCACCTGGTGCTGTTATTTAGTGTTTTTCTGCATTACCTATACTTTTTATTATAGATTTCTATTTTCATACCCTGATAACAGTGACAAAAGCAGGATTTTCTCCTGAATGGGTTTGTTCTATGGAAGAAGTTTTAAATCTGTTTCCCTGTAGCACGATTAAATAAGAGTGTTAATTAACAGTGAAAAATGAGTTTATTTTAGTAAAATTCTGTATAAGATTAATATGTCCATAAAAGGAAGAATTATTTCCCTTAGATCACACAAAATGTTAATTTACATGTTCACATTTTTGTTTATTTGGTGAGAAAAAATGTACAAGTATAAATTTACTCTCTTTAACATGTTTAATTTAAACAGAGTATGGCAATCTTCCATGTCGACTGAAGATCCAACAACACAGCCACCAAAAAATGGCTCTAGGCCTGTGAGAATTTCCCTTACCCAGTATGGTCCACTTAAAAAATCTGACTTATGGTCAAGATAAATCCCTAAGTGTAGACAAGAGTTAAGCAATTGTAAACAAGTTGAGTGTGCCCTACATAACATGCCTATTTTAAATTTCACTAAATAATTAAGATTGACTGAACTTTACAGTTTTTTTAATATTTTTATTGGCAGTCTTAGTCTTAGGGCACCTCATTTTATCAGGCCTGTTCCTTTCAAACATACATGTGTAGGACTCTGAACCATGATGTTACTCCAAACCGCGATGGTCACACTGAAGTGTGATGGTGGCATTGTGACAATATTTTGTTGATAGCTACGCCAAAGTGCAATGGTGGTAACGCTGAAGTGCGATGCACTACATAAAATATATTTTCAATGGTTGTCATGTCGATGTAGAAGTCAATGTGTTTGTTGAAAGCAATTTTTCAAGTTTTTAAGTTAATAAGGGGCCGTTATCAACTTTTAATGCCAAGAGAGATAAGGGAGGAGAGGGGAAAGTAAACCTTCTGTAGCGGATTTTTTTCTAAAGCTACAATAGGTTCTTTTTACTTACGTTGGAGCGTGGCATTCTTTAAATACAGACAGGTCTGCAGACAGCCTCAGACTCTCCGTATCATAATATTACGGTGAATGAGGAACTCATGAGAGAAACCAAGTAAAGATAAAATGTTAACGCAGAATTATGTTCACAAGCAGAAAATCAAAGAGGACGATCTCTCATTTTGTATGCAACTGTAACTAAGGACATACATAGGCAATAAAGAATGCAAATTTATCTACCAACTATTAAAAATATCTACTTCTCATAATTATTGCACATCTGCAGATTTTAACTAGCCTTCACACGTCATATAGACCGTCGCACATCAGTGAACTAACCATCGCACTTTGGGGCAGACCATCGCACCTCTGAGTCCTACACACGTCACCCTGGGAAGGCAATTTTAAATTGGGTAATCACATATGGAGGCAGATTTAGAATTTCAATTAATTTTCATTGTACAAGTGTACCTACACCCACTCATAGTGGAGAATTTAAAATGGCTACACTGGGTCCTATGTATGTTCTCACGGAAAAGCCCTCAGTAAAACTCAAATATTTTTTTGTTATCAGGGCTCTCTTTTTGTCACTGTTTTTATAGTGTATGCTTTATCAGGAATCTCTTTTTGTCACTGTTTTTATAGGTATGCTATCACTTTTATATACATCTAAGTTTTTATTTTGCAGTATATATACTGTTTGTATACTACATGACTTTTTATTTTATTTACAGGGTGTATTATCGCTATTTTACCTGTTGTCAACAGATATGTATGCCCTAATTAATTATGTGGGCTTCGTGAACTGGTTAGCTATAGGAATGTCCATTGTAGTTCTATTGTACTTCAGAAAAACTAGACCAGAGATGAACAGACCTATAAAGGTAAGTCCAACAACAACAAAGGTATATTTATACCCCCGCTTTAAAAAAGTGGGGGTTTACTGTTTTACCTCTGTCTGTCCGTCCATCCATCTGTCTCATGAATATTTTTCGTCGCATCTTTCTCAGGAACTACATCATAAGGATTTCTGAAATTTGGTTTCAGGGTGTATATAAGTCAGCAATACCGTGTGATGTGTTTTCAGATTCATCACTCAACAACTTCCTGTTTACCGAACACTTACATATTTTTACACTATTAAGATTATCCAGTTGCGGCGGGGGTATCATCAGTGAGCAGTAGCTTGCAGTTTCACTTGTAATAATGTGTTTAGGTATTCAATATAAACATAAGATGGGGTATGATTGCCAAAAAGACAAGTAGTTCAAATTCATTGTATGAAAATAATACGATAGAGAGTTGACATGCATTGTTACATAACACAATATACCAAATTAATAAAGTAATAAATGGAGAATATGTCCATGGGACACAGATGATGCCCCGCTTGCATATAACGTTATAAAGGTGTATAACTCGAGAACGTAGAAGTGACGCCACCCAAATTCGAACTTGATCTATGTTTTGTGGAAATAAGCATTGTGTATAAGTTTCATAACATTTGGTTGAGGGAAACTAAAATTATAGAATGGAAACCAAATTGTGGACGGACGTACAAGGGTAACACTTAATGCCCCCTCTGGTGACAACAGGGACATAAAAATAGATTTCAAAGTGTTATTGAACAAATGCAACTTTCACAGAATATAAACATACAATAATATGATAAGTCAATGATATTTAGTATCCAGCTGTATAATATTAATAGGGCATATCTTATATCTCAGAAATTATTTGACCCTGTTCCTTCAGTCGTGGTTCATTGTCTTTGAGTATTTTGCACAATTTACATATTAAAGTACTACTATTTTAATTGCAACATTTGCATTTTAATATCAAAATTATAAACGGATGTCTCAGAGACATATCTCTGTGTAAACAGTTTATTTTATATTTCAGGTGAACTTATTCTGGCCTATATTATATGTGTGTATGACTGTTTTCCTAGTTGCTTTACCATTCTATGCCTCACCCACAGAGACCAGTAAGTATTGTAAAGTGTTGTGTTGCTTTGTAAAGTGTAGATTTATATATTTATGAATTGGAAAAGAATGCATGTACATGAGACAACAATCATGTGAATGATGTATGCATCGTTGAGAGTTGAGGCATAAATTACTTTATATGAAAGGAAAATTGCTTTTTTTGCTGTTTCTTATTTTAAATCTTGCTGGAAGGTCTTAAGTGAGGAGATTAAAAAGCTCACCCTTTACAGTGAAATCGAGACCCACGCTTGGCATTTATTAATGGTACTTTATTGAAATATATATATGGCTGTTGTATATATAGTTTGAAGAAACAGGATAATCATATATGTATTTAGTAAAAAGGAGACAATTATACAGCAACCCAATAACATTGAAAAAATAAAAGACATCTTGTCAACATATAGTCTTCAACAAGACAGTGTCTTTTACAATATGTCGTGTTCCGAATCTCCTGGAGGCAGAAAATTCTGTAACAGATTAACAGCCTATCAAAATATGCCATCAACACTGAAGGACAAGAACCTTTAGATATTATTGCTCATCTGCCTTTTTAATCTGGATCATCATCAGATGGAGGTTCAATAAAAATAAGTTCAATCAGAAAAAGCACAGACCTCTATACTGGTACACAGTACACTGAATGAGAAGACAACAACAACTCTGGTTGAAGTCAGGTGTTGTGATTAGCTTACCAGGAAATTATCAACCTTTTTTTGACTTAAATTCCAAGACAAAAATTAAATGCCATTTTAATAATCAAACACAAGTAATCTTGACAACTTCTATTTTAAATTGCTGTTTTATGTTCAGATTAAGAAATGCTTACTGAAACTAAATTTTTTAACCTAATCATTTTTATTTGGCTTTAACGTAGACACGTGTGCTTGTTATCTTTATTTCCATTATTTGTTAAAAGTTATCTATTTTCTCATTATACATGTCAAATGACATCTGTTTAATTTTGTGATTTTTTTTTTTTTCAGCCTATGGTGTTATAATGATTTGTACGGGTATTCCAGTTTATATCATATTTATTGCATGGAAAAACAAGCCAAAGAGTGTAACTAATATAATAGGTAATTTTTTAGATATTTGTATACATCATTGTACATGTAAAACATAATCAAGTCAAAAAATATTACATTGAGTTTTCTGGAATTATCTGTCATGAATGTCTCACTGATTTAATTAAAAGAAATAGCGTTTATAGAAAAGAGCGCAGCCTACAATTGATATTTATATAAAAATAAAGAGATGTGGCATGATTGCCAATGAGACAATTCTTCAACAGAGACCAAATGATGTACAGTTATTGACTATAGGTCAATATACAGCCTCCCAACATTGAGCAAAACCAATATCGCATAATAAGCTATAATGGGCCTCAAGGAAAAATGTAAAACAATTCAATAGAGAAGACTATAACCATTTTCTGAAATATAGACATGACAGCATTTAAATATATAAAATGGGAGATATGCAGTTGATGATTTAATCCTCATTTTACCAACACCAAAAAGGGAAGCAATAAAAACAAGTACACTGGAAAGGCTATAATCGCAAAAGGATGAAAATTATAATGTTTGTAACATATAATTATAAGGAGATATTTTATGATTGCCAATGAGACTATACACCAAAATCTAACGGACAAGGATTTAAATATACAGGTCCCAATACAAACTTCCAACAATACTTATACCATATAAAATATACAACACACTCCACAATAACTGTTGGGAGGTAGAAACTGGGCTAATGTTTTCGCAGCAGTCATTATCATGGGATATATAAATAGATTTGTGAATTCGAAATAAAATGTGAGAAATTAATAAAAAAGGTATTGAAAAGAAAACATTATTACAGTTTATTTTGACATGATCTCTTTTCAGACAAAACTACGATACTTCTACAGAAGATACTTGTTATCATGCCAGAGGAAAATGTGATCAGTATAACAGAAGAAATGAAGCATGAACATGAACATGAAACATAGACTGCTGTTAGGACATGTGATCACATTGCTGATTTATATCATTGACAAAGCTTGTATTATTGGTTAGTGCTGTTCCATAAAAACATATATGGGACCCAGGGAAGGCTACTTCAATTTGCCACTATTGGTGGATGCGAAATATTGTGTTTAACGGGTTTAAAATTATGCAGGACCCAAAAATCACTTCTATGGTGGTCACTCCGTTTTCAAAGTGCCTTCCCTGTGTACCATGTATGTTTTAATGGAACAGCCCTAAGATGCCCATAAATTTTTGTGCAACTTTTTATAGTTCAGATTTCAATTCTGTTAAAGAAATTTTCCATAATGCAGTTATATAGTAATATGTAAAAATACTTTTAGGGGTCTTAATTTTTGAGGATTTTTATTCACTTGCCTGATGTAAAGGATATTTTAACATATGAGCTGTGTTGGATAGAAATTGATCTTATGCAAATAAATATCAATACATCTGTGAACCAATTTCAGATTGAGAAAATCTATGAAAAGTCTGTAATTGTTTAAAAATTGAGTTGTTATAAGAACCCTGCAAAACAGACCAAAATTCATCTTTTATTTCGTATTTCAATGTTCCAAAATCAATCGAAGTCTTACACTTGTACATGTATACATGCACTTGTATAAGGTGGATTTCTATCCGACACAGCACATATATTGTTCAGTATGTACAAGTAAATATAGACATATAATGATAACAGAGTTTCTTTGCTTAGTCATAAATGTAGCTAAACAAATTTTTATTCAAGCATTTATATAATTATTGTTGAATTTTTATTGTGATATTATGTGAATCAGTTAACTGTAAACCTATTACATTATGGTTAATTCTATTTGATAGACAGACACGATTCTTACTACACCATGAAACATGTCCTTTCAGACTGAGTTGTTTGGTTTACAGGTTTAATTTTTGGAACGGAATATTTAGACCAGTTTAAACAGGGTTCAGTGTGGGCAGGTTTCACATGACCTTTTTTGAGCCACAATTGAATTACCGGTAAGACCAACGTCAAAATTATTTTGAAATTTATTCACTTTTAATATCCTTTTCTCATGATCTGATGTTTAAAGATCCTTTGAAATTTTACTTCCTTTTCCTTATGACAAATATTGATTAACATGTTATCAATCAAATTTACACAATTCTATGATGGACAAAATCTCATACCACAGAAACTTATTGTAATTTCACTATACTTAGGACGATATTAAAATCCTGATGATATATTTCTTTGAAGAAGATGGCTTCAATGCCATTTAAATAAAAAAGGTGGTGTTTTTTTTTTTCGGACCAGAAATACGATTTTACTTTTAAGGTAAGATTTTAATGCTCACACTGAATTGCATTAAAACTATAGAATAGTGCAGTATTATACAGCTGGGTTTTCCAAAAATCACTTTTCAAATCATTCCACTACGTCTGGGTATATAGCCATCTTTTTTTTTTAATTATTATATAGCAGTATATTTATGGATAATTTAATGACATTTTGTAATGTTATGTATATTTTTATTGATAAATTATATTAATGTCTTTTTATTATAAAAATAAATACCTGTAGAACTTACGTTTGATTTCATGATATCAGACTGTCTGGTAATGATATCTATTTGAGTTCATGATATCAGACTGTCTGGTAATGATATCTAGAGTCGCTAATTTTCTGGAAAAAATATCAGTTAGTTTTGTTTTCTTTTGAATTTGTTTAATATTGATAAAACTTTTCTAACCTTTATGAATATTGTTATCATGGAAATTTTATTTATGAACTGATGTACACTTTATGTAATATCATTTGAACATTTTATTTAATGTTTATTGTGACACAAAGATTACAGGTTCCTTTTGTTATCCCTGTGTAGAAAACTTGTTATAGTTAGTTATTTTTGTTGGATATTATCAATGTACTTGTTATGTACATAAGTGTCTTTGTTATTAGTTTGGTGAAAAGCCAGTTAACAGAAATGTTTATTTTTAGATCTGCTTCATAGCATATTTATTTCATTGCCAAATTTTTGGGTCTACTTCAATTCATTTTAGTTCATTGCCAACATCAGATTTTCACAGCCAGTACATTCATTTAGAATTAAAGTATCATACTTTGCATTTATTAAAATCAAGTTCATTAGTTTGTCTGTCCCAATAGAGTTTCTGTGTCCATTCTATGAATGTGAATCCATCATTTTTTTTGATAGGTGAAATAAAGAGAAATCAAGAAATCAAATCAGACACCCTCTGGTAAGATTTCCTGTCTCTGATGATGTTTTTTGAGTCAGAGATGGTAAATAATCATGGCAAGAACTGAATATGAAAATTCATTATTTTACAGTAATTCTTGTAATTCAAGAGATTTTTCTCTGATATAAATCCATGCCATAATAATTATGTTCCCATGTTTTGTTGTGTGACTATCCAACCTTACCTAATGCAAATGGGTGCATCAAATTGTATTAATCAACTTGGTAATTTAATTTAGCTTTGATAATTTATTTGTACTTTTACTTTGAAGTCATTCATGAGGTTAAACAAACAAATTTGTTAGCACAACAAGGACAGACAGAAGCTTTCTGTATAAAAATGGGTTTACTTGTTTACATTGCCAGAAAAGTATGTCTTTTTTATTATATTTGAATTGGTTAATGTTACTGATAATTAGATATTTTAGAATTGGTATGTGTTACTGATAATTAGATATTTTAGCTTGTTTACTTTCGTTTTATGTTAGGCCTTGGAATGTTCTTTTGTTTACCTTTAAATCACATAATGATTCTTAGTTGAATATTTATCTTAAAACGTGCTAATTTTGTCCTTTCGTTTTGTTTTTTATACGACCGCAAAAATTAAAAATTTTTTGGTCGTATATTGGTATGACGTTGGCGTCGTCGTCGTCGTCGTCGTCGTCGTCGTTGTCGTCGTCGTCGTCGTCGTCGTCGTCGTCGTCGTCGTCCGAAGACACATTGGTTTTCGCACTCTAACTTTAGTTTAAGTGAATGGATCTCCATGAAATTTCACCATAAGGTTCAATACCACAAAAGGAAGGTTGGGATTGATTTTGGGGGTTATGGTACCAACAGTTAAGGAATTAGGGGCCAAAAAGGGGCCAAAAATAAGCATTTTTGTAACTTTCAGACAATAACTTGTGTGTAAGTGTATGGATCTCTCTGACATTGTACCACAAGGTTCCATATCACAAAGGGAAGGCTGTAATTGATTTTGGGGGTAATTGCCTCAAAATTTTAGGAATTAGGGGCCAAAAAAGGGGCAAAAAACAAGCATTTTTCTAGTTTCATGACAATAACTTGTGTGTAAGTGTTTGGATATTTCTGAAATTGTACTACAAGGTTCCATATCACAAAGGGAAAGCTGGAATTGAGTTTGGGGGTAATTGCCCGAAACGTTTAGGAATTGGGGGCCAAAAAGGGGCCAAAAATAAGCATTTTTCTAGTTTCCAGACAATAACTTGTGTTCAAGTGTATGGATCTCTCTGAAATTGTACTGCAAGGTACCATACCACAAAGGGAAGGCTGGGATTGAGTTTGGGGGTGATGAATCATAAGGGGGTTCAAAAAATTTGGGGGGGGGGGATTTTTTTTTTTTTTTTTTTTTTTTTTTCCTTTTTTTTACTTTTAAAATTTTCCATTTTAAGTTGGTTATTTCTGATTTATATTTAAAAGCAAATAATAATGATATGGTAGGAGATACACACCAAACAGGATGTGTAAATTATTATATAATAAGTATTGTGCAATAGCAAGAAATTTTCAATTGCACAGTATTGCACAATAGCAAGAAATCTTCAATTGCACAGTATTGCGCAATAGCAAGAAATCTTCAATTTAACAGTTTTGCGCAATAGCAAGAAATATCCAATAGCACAATATTGCGCAATAGCAAGAACTTGTCAATTGTACAGTATTGCGCAATAGCAAGAAATATTCAATTGCACAGTATTGTGCAAAAGAAGATACTTCGTATAAATTGCTTATTTCTTGATCAATTTCAATGGGGTTTTATTCTTGAATTCTTGGGGTTCTTTAATATGCTGAATCTAACCGTGTATTAAGTTTTTAGATTTTGGGCCCCGTTTTTAAATTGGTCCACATTGAGGTCCAAAGGGTCCAAAATTAAACTTTGTTTGATTTCATCAAAAATTGAATTATTGGGGTTCTTTGATATGCCAAATCTAACCGTGTATTTAGATTTTTAATTTTGGGTCCTGTTTTTTAAATTTGTCTACATTAAGGTCCAAAGGGTCCAAAATTAAACTTAGTTTGATTTTAACAAAAATTGAATTCTTAGGGTTCTTTGATATGCTGAATCTAAACATGTGTTTAGATTTTTGATTATGGGACCAGTTTTCAAGTTGGTCCAAGTTGGGGTCCAAAATTAAACTTTGTTTGATTTCAACAAAAATTGAATATATGGGGTTCTTTGATATGCTGAATCTAAACATGTATTTAGATTTTAGATTTTTGGCCCAGTTTTCAAGTTGGTCCAAATTGGGGTCCAAAATTAAACTTTGTTTGATTTCAACAAAAATTGAATATATGGGGTTCTTTGATATGCTGAATCTTACCAAGTATTTAGATTTTTTATTTGTGGGCCCGCTATCAAATTGGTTCATATTGAGGTCAAAAGGGTCCAAAATTAAACTTTGTTTGATTTCATCAAAAATTGAATTATTGGGGTTCTTTGATATGCCAAATCTAACCGTGTATTTAGATTTTTAATTTTGGGTCCTGTTTTTCAAATTGGTCTACATTAAGGTCCAAAGGGTCCAAAATTAAACTTAGTTTGATTTTAACAAAAATTGAATTTTTGGGGTTCTTTGATATGCTGAATCTAAACATGTGTTTAGATTTTTGATTATGGGACCAGTTTTCAAGTTGGTCCAAGTTGGGGTCCAAAATTAAACTTTGTTTGATTTCAACAAAAATTGAATATATGGGGTTCTTTGATATGCTGAATCTAAACATGTATTTAGATTTTAGATTTTTGGCCCAGTTTTCAAGATGGTCCAAATTGGGGTCCAAAATTAAACTTTGTTTGATTTCAACAAAAATT